GAAGTAAACAAACTTAAGTTTACAAGATCTTACCGCAACAGTGAAGCTGGAAGTGATCTTGGATAGAAAGACCTATTAAACACACCTTACACCCACACGATTTTAGGGAAGATAGGCGGATTTTTCTTTTGAGGATCTAGATGGAGATAAGAAGTTTGGAGATAGGCTTGAAGTAGTAATGAAGGTGATGGTGGTTTTCTTGGTCCTTGGCCTAGAATAAGAAGGAGAGGGGAGAGAAGGGAGTAATCAGATGTGATGGTTGCATGGATACTTGAGATTGCATAAATATTTGTGGGATAATTTGAATGGATATCCTCCATGCAAATATTATGTGTCATCCTTGGAATTAATTCAACATCTACTTTCTTTATATGTATGTATGTATATATATATATATATATATATATATATATATATATATATATATATATATATATATATATATAAAACCGAGAATGAGGGGGGGGGGGGGGAAAGAAAAAGATAAAGGGAAGGGTTTGGGCCATACTTGCTTATGTTAGAAATTATGAGGCCGAAGTTGAAAGTTTTCAGCCTATTGGGCCCCTTGAGGGGTTCACGACCCAATAGCAATAAAGAGAGAATAATTTACGACCCATTAGGCTTTAAGAATCCATTTACCACCCATGTTAGTAAAGTGAGTTATTTTAGGCTCAACATGGCCTAAATGTTATGGTTTGATGAATGTAGGTCCAATTAGAGCTCAAATGGAGTTCCTTGGCCCAAAATAATCAAATGAAAAGTTTACTGGCCCATTAGGCCCAATAAGAGGATCCTGGTCCATACTGAGTTTGAACTGGAACATTAGGGTTTCAAACCCACAATTCAGTATCTGCGATGTATTAAATTAGGTTTTGGACTTCACTCAGGAGTTTTGATTCAAATGGATGTTTTTAATTGAGAAAAGTACATGACATCCACCTAGATTACAAGTTTTACAAGAGTTGATATTTACATGAAAACATAATTTCCTAGCTAAAAAATGCTATTTGTGACAGTGAAGGAGGTACAAAGTCTTAATGGCAAGTTAGCGGTATTGGGGCAATTCCTAGCTAAGTCAGCAGACTAAATAATACCTTTCTTCCAAACATTGAAAACATTCACAGGGAGGAAAGATATACTATCGTCAAATGAGGTGGAAGAAGCTCTCCATAAATTGAAGCAATGCCTCAAACAATTGTCGACCTTGGCAAGTTCCTTAAAGGAGGAAGTGCTAATGGTGTACCTATCGACAAGTCATGAGGAGATCAGTGCAGTGTTGGTCGCGAAAAAAGGAATGAAGCAAGTACCAATATACTTCGTTAGTAGATTATTGAAAAAGGTGGAACGAAATTACTCTAAAGTAGAAAAGTTGGTCTTATCCTTGGTATAAGCAACCAAGTGATTACGTAGATACTTCCAGGCAAATCTCATCGAAGTATTAACTGACCAACCAATGAAGAAAATTCTATTATAACCAGAACGTTCGGGAAGAATGACGAAGTGGGAGATAGATTTAGGGGAACATGAAAACACATATAAACCTCGAATCAACATAAAAGGGCAAGCTCTAGCTGATTTCTTGGCAGAAATGACAAACGACCCGCTGTCATCAATGATGAATACTCCTAAAAATGTAAACGAACTTCTAAAAGCACCAAGCCAAGCAACCAAAGAAACGTGGGTGCTACATATTGATGGGGCATCAAGTAAAGATGGCTCAGGAGCATGCATTGTTCTCACCAGCCCATATGGGGACAAGTCAACCTATGCCCAACGATTCAAATTCAAGTGTTTGAACAATGAGGAGGAATATGAGGCCCTGCTAGCAGGGTTACAGTTGGCAAGAAGTATGAACATGTCGCATCTTGAAGTGTTTAGTGATTGGATGTTGGTGGTCAACCAAATTAAAGGAACTTACAAAGCGAAAGAAACGCACATGCAGAAGTAATTGGCTTAGACACAGACATGGATCACGAAGTTTGAAAAATTCGAAATCATACATATTCCACGATCAAAGAACAAAGAAGCAAATGTTTTAAGTAAACTTGCCTCAATAGCCTTCACTTACCTGTCAAAGATCATCCTAGTGGAGGTTTTGCCAAAAAAAGCATTGACAAGCCGCAAAATGAAGCAATGGCGTTAGAAGAGGAAGCTTCATGGGTGACACCCTACGTCCTTTTTCTGAAAAAAGGCATATTTCCATAGGATGTGAAAGAAGCAAGGAAGATACAAATTAATGCACCAAATTATACCATGTATGGTGGTCGACTATACAGGAGAGGTTATACTACCCCATGGCTGACATGTATCACAAGTAGAAAAGCGGATGTAGTAAGGCAAGAAGTACACTTGGGAATCTGTTAAGCACATGGAGGATCACAAGCAACCACCATGAGGATCCTTCCGGCAGGGTATGTCTGGCCTTCCATGACTCACGACACAGAAGCATTCATTAAGAAGTGCCACGACTACTAGACACATGCGAATGTGCCAACCCTACCACCGCATGACATGATTAACATCACAAGCGTATGGTTGTTCCTCTAGCGGGGAATTTATATTATGGGTCCTTTCCCATAAGCACCAGGAAAACATAAATTCCTTATCGTGGCAATAGATTACTTTACCAAATGGGTTGATGCTGAGGCAATTTCATTCAAAACCGGAGAAAGTATTATCAAATTCATATGGATTCGAATTGGTTGATGTTTCTCTCTACCCCATACCATCATAAGCGACCATGGCAAACAGTTCACCGAGAATCCCTTTAAGAAATGGTGCCAAGAAAAAGGGATTCAGCAGAATTTCACCTCGGTGGCTCTCCCAGAGGCCAGCAGTCAAGTAGAAGTGACGAATCGAACTTTAGTTAAAGGGATTAAGAAAAGGCTAGGAAAACCCAAAAGGAATTGGGTTGATGAATTACAACATGTGTTATGGTAATACTGAACCACAGTGCAGACACCAACCAAAGAAACTCCCTTCAGCCTCGTGTATGGTATGGAAGCAGTCATTCTTATCAAAGTCATGATTTGGACTATGCGAACCAACAATCCATAAATACGGTTGAACACAGTGAACCTCCGAACAAATATGGACCTATTAGAAGAGAAGTAGGAAGAATCTTCCATACGACAAGCCAATTATAAGGCACTAATAGAGCAATACTATAACACCCAGGTAAAAAAGTCATAGTGTAAAGTAGGTGATTTGGTTCTACACAAGAATGAAGCAAGCAGGGAAGAGACCATTGGAAAACTGGGTCGTAACTTGGAAGGGCCATATCGAGTGATCGAAGTTCGACAGAGTGGAGCTTATGTTCTGGAGACATTGGATGGGACCTACTTACCAAGAACGTGGAACATGCATAATATTCATAAATTCCACTTTTGAAAGCAGTATGCAAGATAGCCAGAGGGAAAGGAATCAAGCGATGATGACATTTTAGAATTCAGAACTTTTGTTGTTCTTTTTGATGTAATTTGATTACTTATTCTAAAATGGTATCTTTCATTCTTTTCAATCCTACCGATTACGAATAGTTAAGTCTATAACTTACAAACATCGCCATAGTCCTCCATATTATGGCTCGATGTTCTTATTACTCGAACCTTAGGTTTATAACTAATGGTTCGAGCAACTTACAAACATCGCCATAATCCTCCATATTATGGCCCGGTATTCTTATTACTCGAACCTTAGTTTCATAACTAATGGTTCGAGCAACCTACAAACATCGCCATAATCCTCCATATTATGGCTCGTTGTTCTTATTACTCGAACCTTAGGTTCATACCTAATGGTTCGAGCAACTTACAAACATTGCCATAATCCTCTATATTATAGCTCAATGTTCTTATTACTTGAACCTTAGTTTCATACCTAATGGTTCGAGTAACTTACATACATCACTGTAATCCTCCATATTATGGTTCGATGTTCTTGTTACTCAAACCTTAGGTTCATACCTAATGGTTCAAGCAACTTACAAACATCACCATAATCCTCCCTATTATGGCTCGCTGTTCTTATTATTCGAACCTTAGGTTCATACCTAATGGTTCAAGCAACTTACAAACATCTCCATAATCTACCATATTATGGATCGATGTTCTCATTACTCAAACCTTAGGTTCATACTTAATGGTTCGACCAACTTACAAACATCTACATAATCCACCATATTATGGATCGATGTTCTCATTACTCGAACCTTAGGTTCATACCCAATGGTTTGAGAAACTTACAAACATCGCCATAATCCTCCCTATTATGGCTCGATGTTCTTACTACTCGAACCTTAGGTTCATACCTAATGGTTCGAGCAACTTACAAACATCTCCATAATCCTCGATATTACATCTCGATGTTCTTATTACTCAAACCTTAGTCTCTAACCTAATGGTTCGAGCAACTTACAGACATCACCATAGTACTCCAAATTATCGCTCAATGTTCTTATCACTCAAACTTTAGGTTCAAACCCAATGGTTTGAGCCATATACTAAAATAAAATTCGAGTTAGCGGACGGAGCATTTCGAAGTCTGATAAACGCTTTAAGTCAATATGAAATTAGATGCCAACCATGGCCGATAGAATAATAATCGAAACCACAGATAACTCTTACAAGTACATGGGCAAGAAGAAAAATGATTTGAGTAAACAGAGGAAGATCACATTGTCATTTAGCAGAATGTCATTAACAAAAAAAAACCCTACCCTACAACATTGGAAACATAAAATTTACATTTACAAGTTCAAAAGTCCAAATCACTACGAAAACAAACATAATCCCCAACCCTTATCCTGATCCAACTTCATTTGCTCAAGATGAATCCTCAACCTTCAACAACTTCTTCAAACCATGTACATCCATCTCCTCATTCTCCAGAGCAGATACTAGTAAGTACTTGTATGTTATTATCTATGAAAAACATTCCATAATTTGATGTTGTGCATATGGGTATGAATACATGACATTCATACCCTTCATCTCTTCAGTTTACTTTTCTTTCATTTCCACACAGCCTTGATGGAGGCTAAGCTGGATAGCGGATGTCTGCAAGGTGACATTCACGACACCAAAATCGCTTGAATCCAACAAATACCGAACAAATATAGGGATACCTTCCTTTATGAACCATCTCAACTCATCAGCCTTTTGATCCTCTCTCGTCTGGAAACTTTTTGTATTTTGCTCCATCATAAATTGTGAGTCACTTAAAGTGGAAATTCGGGCACCTTTCTCCAACATCAGGAGTTTCATCATGGCTAACTCCTCCTCTAGCAACTTAATACTAACATCCTTGCTAGAACAGGCAATTTCCAATTGAGAAACCTTCTCCGTATATTGTGACTTCGGTAAATGGTACTGTTGGGAGACACCCTCAAGTTCCTTGATGGAAGATGCGTGGTGGCTCACAACATCATCCAATTTCAGTTGCAAATCTTGATTCAACTTTTTCAACTCCTCCTGCTGACCAATGGCTTGACTCAAATCTCTCACCAAGCTTTGGTTTCTCTCTGAAAAACTGTCTGCCTCTTCCCTCAACCCCTTAACGTTTTGTTCGTTTGCTTGTGAAGGGTCCAAAGTTGCTTCAACCATTCCAAGGCTTCATCGAAAATGATTTGACACTAAGCAAGCTACTGTGAACATGACTTTGTGCTTACAGACACTTCATTAAATAAGTACATTCCTTCCATCAACCATGATCGAGCCTTATGTAATGCTTCTTCATCATACACAACCCCTATTTCAAAAGGTCTCTTGGGAAAACTTCTCATAGCAAAAGGATGTGGAACTAAGGAAGTGAACAACAAGAGTAATCAACATTGGCATTGTGGCCTCTTTTCCTATAATAACAATAAGTGCGTAGTCAATAAGCAAGTGAATAGCAAAAAAGATCTAAAGAATAAAAAAAGGGAAAGTAAACGTCGACAAAGGAAGAAACGGAATATAGGGCCTGACGCAAGAGGGGGATTTGGGATACTAGATTCCATATCTAAAGATTCGGTTCCCACAGGCACTTCATTCCTAATCGTGGTATCACGGGGAATGGGAATATGAATAACTACCAAGGAGTCGGTGGTCAATGTCATGAAATGACCATGTCCGGACCCCAAGAGTTTCTGTTGGAACACAGCTGCAGCACACAGACCCTTGGGGCTTTCTTTCTTGAAAAGGGGATCTTCGGGGATCTTCTCAGGAAGGCCTCCAGCAACAATCTCCGATTCTGGTTTACCCAAATGAGACACCTCTGCGTCATCCTCCATATGTTGGGTTTTGAGCTATCTAACACTCCTAAGTGTACATGCAACCCAAAATACCTTGTATCTATTTGTTCTCTATTATACATGCAAATATGAACTTTCCAAGGTATTCATCCTAAGTAGCATAATATCATTGATTCAAATGAATATATCAAGTTAGAATTACATACCTCTTTGATTTAGATTATCTTCATGAAGCTTGAGTTCTTAGTGCCCCAAGTGTGACACCTCAAATGGTTCACACAGCACCAAATACACATGGAATGACTTGAGAGAAAACCACACTTCATGAAAAATTGGCTAGCCCTTCCTATCACTCATAGTGGCTGATTTTCCCCTAGAATATGATCTTTATATAGTGTCACAATTAGGGTAACCCCTAATTGTCATGGCTTTCCATTTCCTTGGATCCATGGGTTCAAATACACCATGGAGCATCTTATAGGTTTAAGCCCAACTTGACAATCCATGAAGCGTTAGCCCACTATACAAGTGTGGATGATTTACACAATCAACCCATATATTTAATTAGTCTTCTTTTGATCACTTAATTATTCCTAGATTAATTCTTAATCAATACTAATTAAATAATCTTATTAATATATTAGAACTTATAATATATTAACAAACCTTAAAGTGTTATTTCTCTCATTATAGTCTATCCAAATGCATGATGCCATGCAACCCAAATGGACCATGCCGGGTCGGGTCAAGTCTTACCAATTTGCAGTTATGGACTTAGACATTAATCCAACAGTCTCCCACTTGGATAAGTCTAAAACTATTATTGCGTATGACTTCAAGAACCAACTGGAAATCGTAGCTCTCAAAAGCTTCTATCGAACTCTGACCTTTCCGATGATCTCTGACCTTTGTTAATGACTTGTCCATTAGATAAGGGATCATATATTCCTCCATTCTAGATATCATATGGACTGAGACATGGATTGTAATCATTCTATCTATCAATTTGTTGTTTCCCGATTTCCGATTTATGACGACTGACTAATTGAACAAATCAAATCAGTTCTGGCCCGGCCGAACACTTACATTTCTCATCACCAAATCACCGAGGGGCCCATAGATATCGTTTTTATCCCGTAGGTAAAAGGAATGGATAAACTTCGACTCATATGGCTTGTTCTACTACTTTTTTAATCATACACAAAGGAATTTTTTATAACATCGAGTTACCGAATGCATTTTCGTGTAATCAATGTATAACCAACTCATAGTAACAACTCATATATCTAGGTTTGAAGAATATAAGATATTATCGTCTCATGATCACTTGTGATAAAATCCATGAAGTGATTCCAATGAGTGCAGGTTGAATCCAATACTCAGAACTTATGAGCACTTATGAGTGTTGTAGCCCTTTTTTCGACATCTTAGACCTCTACAAGCCAACCCATGACAGTCTTGATTCATATCTACTTCCAACATATGACCGAATGTGGATGGTATGAATAACTTAGTCGTTCAGGAAGAATAACCTAGTTTATTCTCGAAGTCAAAACATGCAAAATGAAACACAAGAATAATTGAATCTAATATGGTATCAAAACCTATGAACATAAATAAAACACCTTTTATTTATCACCATATGATTACACATTATTCATTGTATACTGTTTCAACTATCAAATTTATTCTTGAGTTTGAAACAATGATTATCCCATGCTCCAAGCATGTACACTATGTTTTCTAAACACTAGTCATGCCATACACCAAGTATGCATACTATGTTTGTCTATGATCTTTACTTTGTGAAAGAGATCGATTGAACATAATTCCAATGATTCTCATTTTACAGTCCCAAATCCTTACTACAAATGCAAGAATTCCAAATTCTTGCCATTTACTGAAATCTATTAGATTCTAAACTTATATGCATAGATCCTCTTGTAATAATTATGCATAAAGTCGCAAAGACTTGATAATAAACATTACAGAGCATTCCAAAGGAGATCAACTCCTTGGAAACATCCTTCTTGCATTAAGTTTCCTAATCTTACATAGATTGAATAATTTATATCTTTGAAACATTTGCATATTCCATTTTGACTATCACTTCTGAACAAGAGTTTCCTTTTTCCAGAATATGTCAATATGGTCCTTCCAACAATTAACACTATACTTCCAACTGTCCTTGAGCAACCAATCTTTGTTAAACCTTAGATTGTTCTCGACAATTGTTTAATACTTTTAGTCATATCCAGTTCTAGACCTTTTCCCTTCTTAATGCCCCAGGCATTTGGAAAATTTTAGAAATGATGAATATAGCACATGTAATCGATCCTATATCCGAAGCATATGGGACACAATTCATGATGTCTCACATAAAGACTAAACCAGTCTTTTGCTATAACATTTCCATTTCTATTTACCAAGTTCTCATAATTCAGATTATGAAAAGGGATGCCGTAATCATAATCGAGTTTTAGAACACAAATAATGGACCCATATATAGAATTTTCTTATCTTGAGCCATTCCAACATATCATTCAAATATATACTTGACTAAATTTGATTAAAATCTCATGATCTAAGATTATAGATTTGACATGAAGTATAATTTCCTCTCCCTTAATTATAGCAAAACAACTTTTTCCCAATTGAAACCTTTTGCTTTCTATAATTAACATTGCTAACTTTGAATACTTATCATAATTATCATGCTCCCACTAACATGATAATTATTAGCATAACACTTATGGTCCCACTAGCTTTGACATGTACTCAGAAATTAGCTAGACTTCTCGAAATCAATACTTTATTGATTTTCTTACCAAAGTTCAGATTTTTTATACTAGATTGCTTTGATAAAACTTTATCAATATCATACACCTTATCTTAGATAGCTCACAGGTGTGTCTGAATAATTTTAAGAACTATGAAAAGGGATGTCGTAATCATAGTCTCGATTGTTTAGACCTTTATCACTTTTCACAAGTCCATGTTAGTGTGCCGGTTAACCACCCACGCTCCACTAACGACTTTGAGAATGCAAATATCACAATTGCTTTCTAGCTAAAATCTACTTAGTGAAAGTGTTTCCTCACCATCATTTTCATGAATCGGAGAGAAACCTTATGAAACTTAGATTTAATAGTGCATGTGTTCTTATCCATGTGAATTGTCAAATCATAATCACAAGACTAGGTTAGTGACAAATCCTAACTCATATGGATTGAACTTGTTCAATCTTAAATTCTTGCCATCTGGCAGCTCAAGGGCCTACGATTGCTTCCAAGTAGTTGTGTAACCAATTGAGAACTCTAACAACTCATATGCAAAGCCAACTTTAAATGGAATGGGCACTAAATATATCAACACGATAGGTTATAAACCTCAAGTCGTGTGCTAGTGAAGAACTTCAGGTTTTATTCTTTATTAGTTCTTGAGACCTTTAAGACTCTCACTGTGCTCTTGAAATATAACACTTTCTTTTTAGATATTCAATAGATAGTGTGGATTCTAATCAAGACAAACACTTCACACAATTGGCATTAGTTGGTCTTTGTTTTATCCAAAACATCACAACTTACCAATTTCAAATGTACAAGAGTAGAAAACTTTTACTCTTACATTTGACAAGTGTTTTAAACCTTCTTTAATACATGTCACTCAAGTTATATTCTTAGAGTATAACTCTAAGAATTGTTTTTTTTGGAACGAAGTATGACTCATCTTCTTGATTTAATCATTCCAACAATTCAAGATTCCTCATCTTAGTCATAAGAATGCACTAAGATTTCCTTAGAGAACTAATTGTGATATGGTTTCTTAGTCATTAAGATGATCACAAAAATTGATACTAAAGTACTCTCTCATCTTTCCAGATTTGAGAAACTTTTATCATTCTGCCTAATTTGATTCTTCTTATTCGCTCTACCATACATTGGAACCTTTTCCAATGTCTTAGAATTACACTTAAGCTTGTAAGTATAACCATATTTACTGAGCTTTAGTAAAATTATGATGAATAATCTTATCAATCTTTTGTGGTGCACTTGACCAGTGCACAAGAATGTGTACTCGATCCCTTAGTCCATCACTTGACTCACATATATATGTGAACAAGGAACTAGTCTTAATTTTCCAAAGATGGAAAATTCTCATTCATCATGCTATACAACTTGCATGATTCCAAGTTTCGGTCCAATTGAAACTTGGGTGATGAGGATCTTTCCTTATTTAAGAAATTTAGACATTACCAAAAATAAAAGAATCAAATTCACTTTCCAATATTGCTATTAGTGGAATCTTATAAGCAACAATTTTCCACAAACGCCATTACAAGGATACATAAAATAAATAAAATAAATAAAATCAAAATTTTCCTTTTATTTTAAAACTTTGCTGAAAAACTTATCCTTACAATCAATATGAAAACTTGTTGTTATCTATTCCTAAGCAATATCTCATAACTCCTAAGAAGTAGCTCAAAAATCCGATCTTTAAAATATGCGATAGAAATCCATCTACGCGATCAGATTCAGCATATTCTTTCTTTAAGTTCCTTCACTTTCCTTTAATTCTTAAAACATCACCATGTGACCTAGTGACATCATGTATCAAGAATCTCATAATAGAAACTTAGCAGAGTTAGATAGTGGACTTTACCTGAAGTAGAGTCAAACTTATTGACTTTAACATCCTTAGGTAAATTGGCATCTTCGCAACCAATGCACCTTCCTTTGGCAATTTAACATATGGAAGCTTTGGTAACGGAACATAAGACTATCTCAAGCTTAGCCTTTCTCTTTACCATTTGTTCAACCAAGTTGACTATGGCCAATCCCTTTCCATTGGGAAGAGAATGCTTTTCTGGATTTCCAGTGTCTTCATTGTCAATATCCATAAAGTTTTAGGAAGTTGATCATAACAAATGGATAAGATCATTAAGGGTCTTGTCATAGTCTATTTCATAGGAGTCCTAAAGGAACTCACTATGTGACTTAGAAAGTAGTTAAGCCAACAACTTTCTCAAGACTTTGACACCCAACTCTCCCGGTTTGTCAATATGTGACTTCATCTCCAAAATGTGATCACACCCAGATCTTGCCTTGCCAATAGGGCTTGAGTGACCTTGAACTTGTGGGCCAGGGAGAATAATTGGAGGAGGTGAAAGAAGTATTATTTCCATGGGAAATCATCTTCATTCAGGAAAGTTTGTTTCAAGATATTTGGGAAGATCATAAATGTCTAAACCAGACATCTTTTTGGGAGATTTTCAAGATAGTTTATTTAAAGTCCTTAATATAACATCCAATATGAAATATTAAGGCTAGGACCCAACACAATACCTTTATAACTTGGAAGAGGGATGTCGTAATCCAAGCTATAAAATATTTGAAGGTATGTGAATGGCGATTCACCAATTTCCACCAAGATAAACAAAATGTATTATTAGGTTTTAATTGGTTTTGAAACTCCTAGATCTTTGAGATTCATTGAACTTTTCAATGGCATGTTTCAATCTCGAGTGTGCCCTTCAGGTTTTGTGACTGGGTTGTCGAGGATCACAAAACAAGGTGTGAAGTAACCATGCAAATATACTTGATACCCTTAATATTTACCCTTTAATCGATATGTCGGTTAACCACACACGCTCCACCGATACTATCATAAATATTAAGCTACCCTTTGCCTACCTTGTTAAGTCCAGTTTAGTGTGCCGGTTAACCACACACGCTCCACTAACCGACTTAAACAAAGTGCAAAGTGTAATTTCATGGATTAACACCTTATTCATATTTTCCTATGTAACTAATATTGGGTATTTATAAAAGTTTTAGTTACTTAGTATTTATCATTAATACTTTTAATGAAGGGAGAATTATAATCCTTATCCTACTCGTTCGGCTAACGACCCTCCACCAGTCAAGGAAGCGGTGGGTGAGAGTGGACACCCATTAAAGTGCCATTTTATAGGCAGTAACCTTATACTCCCTTATAGACCGGCTTCATGAATGAGGCCTACTAACGGTAAGACTAACTTTACTCTTATACATATATATATATATATATATATATATATATATATATATATATATATTATTAACGTATAATATTATAAAGTATAAGGGTTGAATTTGAACTTTTAAAATTCTAAGGGCTAACTTGGAATTAAAGTATTCATAAGTGAAAACTTTTCAAATTCCAAAACTTGAGGGGAAGTTTTAAAACTATTCAAAACTAATTAATTCCATAACTTATGTGTTTAAAGTAGTTTTAATTAAAAGACTCTTCAAGTTCCATAACTTGAGGACTAGTTATGGAAGACTTTAAACTAATAAAAGAATGTAACTTTTCTTTATTTTCTAACTTATGGAATTAATTAAGGTTACACATTTTATTCGTTAATGGAGTGACTCTTGAACCTCCATAACTTGAGGATACAAGACTCTTCATTTTGTAACCATTGCCAACTTTAATGACTTTTATGGAACTTAAATGTGACTTTTCATATAACTTGAGGACAAGTTACAAAAACACATTTTAGAATCAACTCTTAGATTAAAATGGATTGAAAACACATAATCAATTTACTTATCTATTAATCTAAGCAACTCATATGAACAAAGATAATTCACATCAAACTTTTTCATGTAATTAGCATAACTTTTAAACTAATACAAAACATGAATCTATTGACAATTATCTTTGAAATTGGATTAGAAGGAACATTACCACATCAAAAACAAGTTTATAAGTCCAAAAACAGCTTAGGGTAATGTTCCTAGTCCATTTCTATCCAAAAAAAAAAACTCGAAAATATGTTGTATGGGGCTCCTACTCGTCGAGTGTATCAACCTACTCGATGAGTAGGATGATTATCTTCATGAACTCGGCAAGTTCATCAGTGGACTCGGTGAGTCTAGTGCCCAGAAAGCCAGAAAATTGATTTTTTCAGCAGTTTTCAGCAATTTGCATCAAGTATCATTGAAAACAAGTCTAGGCTCTAATACCACTGTTGGGTTTTGAGCATTCTAACACTCCTAAGTGTACATGCAACCCTAAATACCTTGTATCTATGTGTTCTCTATTATACATGCAAATATGAAATTTCCAAGGTATTCATTTTAACTAGCATAATAACATTAATTCAAATGAATATATCAAGTTAGAATTACATACCTCTTTGATGTAGATTGTCTTCATGAAGCTTGAGTGCCTAGTGCCCCAAGTGTGACACCTCAAATGGTTCACACAATAACAAATACACATGGAATGACTTGAGAGAAAACCACACTTCATGAAAAATCAGCTAGCCCTTCCTATCACTTATAGTGGCCGATTTTTCCCTAGAATATGATCTTTATATAGTGTCACAATTAGGGTAAACCCTAATTGTCATGGTTTTCCATTTCCTTGGATCCATGGGTTCAAATACACCATGGAGCATCCATGGAGCATCTTATTGGTTTAAGCCCAACTTAACAATCCATGAAGTGTTAGCCCACTATTCAAGTACAGATGCTTTACACAATCAACCCATATATTTAATTAGTCTTCTTTTGATCACTTAATTAATCCTAAATTATTTCTTGATCAATACTAATTAAAAAATCTTATTAATATATTAGAACTTATAATATATTAACAAACCTTAAAGTGTTATTTCTCTCATCATAGTCTATCCAAATGCATGATGCCATGCAACCCAAATGGACCATGTCGGGTGGGGTCAAGTCTTACCAATTATAGTTATGGACTTAGACATTAATCCAACACCATATGCTTCATTTCTATGTCCGGTTTAATTAAACATTCGTGAAAAATAGTAGTAACAGGATCCTCCGAGGTACGCTCAGAGCTTGTAGCATCGGGAACTAGAGGATCAAATAGATCATTTAGGCTTCAGATTTTTAATTTGTGACCAGAACGCTTCTGCTTAGGAGGGGACATTTTTATGAATTAATTGTCTTGATCACTCTCAGAACAATTCTTTTGGATGAACCCTTTCGAGGTAGCCCTTGTAAACACTGTGGGAGGCTTGCCAAAATTGAAATCCAATTGCATGCCCTTCGAGCGAAGGTTAGGAGGAATAGATCTATAGCCCTATGATTAATAAACATCTAGGGAAGAGTCCACGCTAGAATATAACCTAGTTAGGGAATCCAGCGCTATCACGTCCTCCGTTACTAGGGTGGAGTTTGGAATTCGTTTCTGCTGAATTTAGTCAAAAAGGGTTATATTTTTACCCTCCAACACCTCCACTGGCTTCATACCCAAACGGTTCCAATGGGGACTCATGCCATCCACCACCGGAATCGCTTCATCGGGGTCCGTCCATCAGAAAAAATTGTATGATTACCTCTCCGTTATCAATTGCTCGTCAGGTGATAGTTCTGGAACGGGGTCAGCAACACTGCCAGCGGTAGCGTCGTATGTTATGGGGCCTGAGAAAGCAGAGACATGAACAAAAAATAACTCCTCTTTCCAATACTTTATGGAATTTAGAAGACCGTCACAAATCTCCACCAAACCATGGCAAGGGGAGAAAGAAACCCAATCTTCATTGGACATTGGAATATAGAAGTGGCAAAACATATTGATGGTCGACGACACATCCAGAGTGATGCATAGCAGGCTGAAGCAAAGAATCTTGCAAAAGCCATTAAGGTTTATTTGGGCGATGTACAGACCTTAATAATCTAGAATATTTTCTAGAAAATCAAAAGCAGGAAGACACACCCCGGATTTGAAGAATATTCGGTAAACCCCCACAAAGCCTTCAGGGGCATCAGTAATGGCATCGTTGGCCTCCGGCTAACGAGGATGGAACTTGGGATCAATATTATACTTCTGAACAAGCATACCCATGGTCCAAACGTTCAACTTGGATTTTACCATCCCAATGTGAGAAATCCCAGTGCTCACCATATTCAGAAAAGAAAAAGGAGATGAGAGAAAAAGTCGATAGAAGAAGAAAAATGACTCTAACTGAAATAGCGAATGATGAAACAGATGATTAAATACCAAATATTTATAGTAAGTCTAGAATATATGAAGTTTAACTGGTAGATAATATGGTTGGTGGATACTATTGGGGGTCAGAAATGGCATCAACCAAGTCCTCACACGATGGCTTGGAGTGTCGCAATCGAATGTCTGGTCCTGGAGGGATGAATGCGCTATATGGGTAAGGTTGCCCCCTTTTTAACACCAATTGGTTTTAGATCAACCGGTAGCGCTGATGCTCAATAAGTGGTATCAGAGCAGGAGATTTTGTAAACAATATGTAATTCTTTTGTCGACTTTCATTAGGGTTTCCGGTTTTAGTGGATCTGTTCTAGCCGTCGTCATCATCGATGTTAGATCTTGATTTGAATTCTACCCTGAACTCGATTTTAGTTTTAGACATTTGATTCTCTATTGGTTTTATTGAATTGATAACATGCAATCTGATGATTCTCACGTTAACTCCATAAATCTCCTATGTAGCATCGGATCTACAACAAGGATCCCTATGATCTTTCGTAATTATTATGAAGTGTGGGCTTTGCACTTTAAGGATTACCTGCTAGATCTTGAAGATAATGGTTTCTTGATATGGGATGCCATAACCAAGGAGAGGTTTGCTCACACTGGTACAAAAAAGGTTACCAAAACTCAATTCGAGTATAACGCTCTTCTTCTTGATGAGGAAAACGTACCACAGGATGAAAAAGATAAGTTGATTAGTGATGCCAAAGCTATGAGGATCATCCAGTTTGATTTGCATGTAGACACGTTTCGCTTAGTAAGCTCCTGTGAAATAGTAAAAGAAATATGGGAAACGCTTAGAGAACTCTACTCAAGTGACATTGATCTGGAGCACTCTATACATACTTTGTTACTTTCAGAGTTTGGAGCATTTTTTTAAAATCCTGAGGAAAAACTCGACCAAACGTTCAACTGTTACAATTATCTTTTAAGCAGGGTGGTGAAGACCAAAATAAAATGTGAATTGATAAAGCAGAAGGTCACTTTCATGAATGGGTTGAGATTCGAGTGAAAAGCAGTTGCATTGAGGTTAAAGCGCATGAGCAATTTATAAAACTACTCCTTGGCAAAGCTTGTTGGTATTCTACGGTAACATGAGGATGAGGTGAAAAAGTTAAATAAAAGGTACGGTAACATGAGGATGAGGTGAAAAAGTTAAATAAAAGGTGATAGATGATGATGATGAAGAGGAGGAGGATGATCCATTGCTGAGCTGCAAATCTCGCGATGTTGAAATTGATAATAATCTGCAAATAGCGAGAGAAGCTGAAGAGAAAGAGAAAGTTGATCGTGAAGCGGAGGAAACTCTAAAAGCATAGAAAACCATTTTTCCTCTATGGAAACTTGAGAGAATTTTGAATGAGGCAATTGATATTATGAAGAGTTACTGGCTATCCGATAGGCTAGAGCCTGTTAGATATTTCGAGTTGTAAAACTCTCTGGATTCGCAGCTTGAGCTGCCCATTACGCCGAAGGATTTTCTGTTTTGGAGTTTTGACAAAATTGCGAACGTTTCACCTGCTGATAAAGATGTTGATCGGGTGCTCTTTTCTATTTATCTGAAGCACATGAGGCCACAATATGAAACGTGGAGTTCAAGGAAGATCACAACAATAAAATTGTTTGGACCAATTGAAACAGAGAGCTTTCTTAATGCTCGTTTCAAGGTTGCTTGTGGGGCAGTGAGTTCAACTCACAAATTTAATCTTGCAGATCTTCCATGCCTCAATCCATTCACTTGGATTTCTTTTTACTTATACTAATGAAGTATTAATAGAAATACGAGCCTATCATTCTACACTTAAAACAAATATCGTTCTGTTACATTTAGGAGGTAGGAAAGATGGACGTGGAAATTGTCACAGTTCTTAATAAGAAACCTAATGTTCTCCCAAAGAGCCTCCGAAGGATCCCAATACAATGAAGTTGGGAAGGATACAAAGGAAGGATTGGTGTGTTCTTTTCAGATAAAGGAACAACCAGATGTGAACTATCACGGAGTCGGTTTCTATTTTCTAGATAAAGATTTGTACTCCTCCTGTCTAGATTACATTGTAGATTTCGTGGATCAAAATAAAGCAAGCATCACTGCAGACAAGAAGTGTTTCTCCGATATGATAAATTGGTATATCTTGGTTTGCAAAAATCTTTTGGGGATTATTCCAAAGTTGTTCAAGGTTCAAAAGCGACAACAATAGTGAAGAGTCTCCTACCTCATTTGACACAAAGAGGGAGATTGTTGGGCTATAAAGTGTTGTGTCAAATTTGTATTATATTTTATTATATTATAGTCCATTTTTCCAGGTTAGGCCTATCCACCTGGTGTCATTATTATGCTAGGGTTAGGGTATTTATAGTGCATGCATGCACTGTATTAAGGGTCAATACTTTTGTAACCCTATATTGCCTTTATAGTAGTAGTTCTGAATCGAGCTCTTCTAAGGCGGTGGTTTTCAATCATCCAGCATGTATTCGATCATTCAGCTCTTGTTTTTTATTCAATTACCGATTTAGATTTTGTCGATCTACTCTCATTTGTTCTAGCAATTGGTATCAGAGCCAGTGGCGAGGGTTCGATTCTCTCAGGGAGCAATTTCTAAGGTGGGATTGTTGAGGTTCAAAAATGGCATTGACCAAGTCCTCGTACGATGGCCTGGAGTTCCGTAATCGAATGCCTGCTCCTGGAGGGCTGAATACACTATATGGGTAAGGTTCCGCCCTTTCTAACATCAATTGGTTTTAGGTTTTGGATCAACCGGTAGCGATGATGCTCAACATATATCGTACCCATATTAAAGAAAGGGAAGATGAAAAGACGGTTATATGGATCATCATTAGGACTAGCATAATAGTAAACACATCATGTTGGAGTTAATTCAGGAGTTTTTCACCCCTATCCGATTATAACAACTATAATGTCGTTTCTTCCAAAGTTTTCATCCCTACTCCATCGATTACATAGGGATACAAATAAGGGGGACTTAATAGGATATAGCCGAAAATACCTATATCCTTCCCAAATAAACTGAACCTGTTGGATTAGTGTCTAAGTCCGTAACTATATTTGGTATGTACTTGACCCGGTTGTACATGGTCCTTTTGGGTTGCCTTCACCAAAGCAACTAGACAAGGTAATTTAAGGAGAGAGAGAGAGAGAGAGAGAGAGAGAGAGAGAAAGAAAGAGAGAGAGAGAGAGAAAGAGATAGAAAGAGAGAGAAAGAGAGAGAGAGAGAGAGAGAGAGAGAGAGAATATTATGGTTTATTAATATATTATAAGAATAATATATTAAAGGAGAAATTATATTTATTTAATTAGTATAAGTCATAAATTAATTAGGAATTAATTTGGTGACTAAAAGCGATTAATTAAATAAAGGGGCATAAACTATCAAATGTGTGATAGTTGATTTTTGGACTAGGGAACCTAATGGACTAAGGGGGAACGAAATTATGATGAAGGATCATCATATTTTCGTCCAAAGGCCTTATTCCAGAAGGTTCCTTGGGCTGCTTGGTGGCTACGTTATCTATTAGGGTTTAGACTGAAACCCTAGCAGCCTACATGCTTCAATTTTCGACCACTTGCTTCTAAGAGAAACCCTGGGGCCGAAAATTAGCATCCTCCCTCCTCTCCAAAAGTTGCCTTCTTTCTTGTGGTGTTTGTGATTCATTAGAGGAGTTACAATTGTGACTCTAAGCTCAAGAGGAGAAGATTCAAGCCACTATTTGAAGAGGTAAACATCTAGATCTGATGTTATTTGCTAATTTCGAAATTATGTATGCTAGATTAGGGTTTTCAAGTCTTGGATTCATTGCATGTACAATAGAGAACCTAGATCCAAGCATTAGGGTTTGTATGAGCACATAGGTTTGTTCTTATGCATAAAACCCATCAGAACTAGCATGTTGCAAGGTTGCTCGAAGTTACCCGCCCCACACATCTCGAAGTTGCTCATTTAGATACCAAATTGGCATGTATACTCGAAAGGAAAGGAAAGAACAGCGAGAAAGTACAAGGTGACATCAAAATAGTAGCAATAGTACCTCAAAACCATGAGAATACAGTCCATACGAGGATACGTGGCTAGATGGATCCTGGCACAGCCACATGACAGCTGTGTAACTGCATACACAGTACTGATAGTTATACATTCGAGCATAATGACATAAATACAATAAGGTGGCATGTCAGGGTCGATATGGGAAGAACTCGCTACCTCTTCTTGTTATGCTATATATAGATAGTCCGACTTGTCAAAAAGGTACGTACACAGAAGTCTTGATTAACTATCTTGTGTAATCGATCGATAACATAGTGTCTCGCTAACTTAACCATCAGAGTGTCGTCTAGGATCTCCTCTCAGCCGAATAGCTTACGGTTTGTTTGTATTCTACAGGTCAATCTATTAGCCTGGTAAGAACCAACCCAAGCGTAAAAGATAGAAGACGGACCTGATGGTACATCGCATACTTTTAAAGAACTTATTCATCTTATCTCTTAAAAATGAGATGTCACATTAATCTTGCACATGTAATACGAATCCATAATATTCTATTGTAGAAAAAACACATAAATAAATATCATAGGATTAACCATACATGTGTGTTTGTATTAGTATGAGCCTTCTCCAACTAGTTTTCTTGTCAAACCTAGACCATGAGATTTCAATTTTTTCTAGTTTAGGTTTTTATGTCATGTGGTAAGTCATCGTTTTATTTTGAAGCACACTCCCTTCAATATGAAGAGAACCTGCTATGTATAAAGGATTTT